TATATGATGTTATGTTATGTTATGATGTTTACATAAAAAGAAAATTTGGGACAGTTCATCCTATTATGAAAAACATACATTTTACTCTGTTACCTGCAGTAGTGTCTGGTCATGCAGATAGTTTTAGTTTTATTCTTCCAGGTTTTGAGATATTTTTCCATAACAAAACAACAAGTACAGGACCTTTGTTGTCAATTGAGTAATAAACCCTAATTCTTGTTTGTCTGGATAATCTACCAAACATTCTGGGAACAGTTTTCATAGGGATTGTTTCTTTGGTCGAAATTAGCCCCAATTAAAAAAAAAAAAAATTGCACTGTTTCTCCAAAGACACGTTGCATTTAATTTTAAAATGTAACTTTTTTTGCTTTGAGAACGTAATTCCATTCACCCCATTGTATTGGGGTAGAGACAGAAATCTCAAAACACAGACAAAATAACAACTAACATCGTGGCTAGTTAGTTATACATTGGGTAAACCAACTTTTTATAGCTGAAGCTGAAAAAGAAAATCTGTGGGCCCAGCTGTGTGTATGAGTCCTAATTGGGTGTATTGTTGTCCAGGTGGCCATGTTGCAGAATCAAGGCAGGGAGATGATGATTGTCACCAGTGGAGCTGTGGCCTTTGGCAAGCAAAGATTAAGACATGAGATCCTTCTGTCCCAGAGTGTCCGGCAGGCGCTGCACTCAGGACACAATCAGCTCAAAGACATGGTAAGAAAAGGTGGAGGAATGTGTTAAAGCACAGAGAAAGAAGAAATTGCTGCTGCTGCTCCTTGTGGGTTGGACACAGTGCTGGTGGCATCTGTCCAATATAAGTCAATACAATACAATAGCATACAATAAATACTAATACAATGCATTTCTCCACACCGGTCAACAAGCAGTTATGGTCTTCTGCTTTTTTTCTAATCACATGTACAGTTGATCTTCATAATAACCGTCAATTATGTGTTTATGAGGTTATGTCTTTATTCAGAGAATCAATGTGACCAGATGTCTACTGCATTTGTGTTGCAGTCTTTGCCAGTGCTGGAAGCCCGGGCCTGTGCTGCGGCTGGACAGAGTGGCCTGATGGCCCTGTATGAGGCCATGTTCACCCAATACAGCACTTGCACTGCACAGGTACTTACATACTTCATAGGAAAATAATCCCATTGAAACGCTCAACAAGCTTATGTTTTATACAGAATAACATATTTAGATGTTTGTCTCACTCACTGCTTAATTCTCTGTTCTCGTCTCCCTCCTGTGCTCTCAGGTCCTGGTGACAAATCTGGATTTCCATGATGATGAAAAGAGGCAGAACTTGAATAGCACACTGCAGGAGCTGCTGCGCATGAATATTGTGCCCATCATCAACACCAATGACGCTGTGGTGCCCCCACCAGAGCCCAACAGCGACCTGCAGGGGGTAAATGTGGGTATAGATAGCATGGGGGCGACGCTGATAGTAGTGATGGTGGCGATGGCAGCAGGGGTTCTGAAGAAGTTGGTAGAGACAGTGTTTATATAGTGTCTACAGTTACTGTTCATTAGCTACAGTATTTTCTGTCATCCACACACATACGCTGAAGCACCTCTGCCACCCTGCCTCACATCATCAGCTCTGCTCTCAACTATTAAGGCATGTGCATGCAGTGAGAGGATGGATGGCGGTGCATGAAGTCACTGGGGTGAGGTGCTGTCGGAAGGGGCCCTGACTAACTTTTGTAGGTAGACGCCGCCTCTACCTGTTCTCCCGCAGAAATAACTAACCCATCTTTCTCTCAGAGATAATTCCACCTGACTGTCAATCATTTCCTTTTTAATTTTTGGGCCAGCTCGAGTTATGTGCTGTATATAATTATTTTGAAATGGGGCACCCTGGTAGCTCACCGGGGTCCCTAAAATTTGCCCTGATGTCCTGCAGAGGGACAGTTCAGTAATAGAAGAACATTTTGCACAGTTTTGAAGTACGTAAGTGTTCAGGTATTTGTTTCAATTTAACAGCTTGCCTCTAGCCCTTAAGAAAAGGCTCAAATGGGTAAATGGCAGACGTTTGACTTTTTGCCACCACTTACATCAGCAATTTTCTGGTTCTGTAGGTGATCAGCATTAAGGACAACGACAGTCTGGCAGCACGGCTAGCTGTGGAGATGAAGGCTGACCTGCTCATCGCACTGTCTGACGTGGAAGGTATGTGTGTTACCGCAACAACAGTCTGGGTCAGCTGTTAGGAAACAACACCATCTGTCTGAGCTCTTCACAGAGGAAAAAAAACACTGCTGTCAGGGTCATCTGAGAGTCATGTGAGAGAGACAAACATGGACCTTCTGCCTTTATGTTTGAAATTGATGCTGATGGGGTTGCCACAAGTTGTCGACTGAAATGGGTTTTTCAATCGCCAAAGCAAAAAGAAAGTCACGTATTATTCCAAGTACATTAAAATCTAATACACATGGATATTTAAGCCAGTAAAATGTTGTTTAGATGGAATTTAAATTAATTAATGGAATAGAAAAATACATTGGGTTATGCTGTAGATTTCAGAATGTGACTGGCATTTAAAGGGAGATGAGGCTACCGTATGTATGGAACGTCATTCAACTGCATTATTCCATACATAATAACTATATACATATAATGTATATTTAATGTAAACAGGTTTTAGACTAGATTTGTCATTAGGATTGGATAAATGTGTTAACATTTAGAAAATTTTTAAGCAAATGTTTACAGAATGATGCATGAGAGTTATAGTACAAGGCTCAAAACTAACTTTTTCACCACCTTCCCAAAACTCACAAGGGGGAGTGCTAACATTGTCATTTAGGCTCCTTTTTCATGCTGCTTAGTGTATTTTAGACCCATGTATGAGCAAGTAAGTTGTGTAAGAATTGTTGATTTCTTAGGACTGTACGACAGCCCCCCTGGAACAGATGATGCCAAGTTCATTGATATATTCTACCCTGGAGACCAGCAGTCCATCACCTATGGTACAAAGTCCAGAGTTGGGATTGGAGGCATGGAGGCCAAAGTATGTTAAATGTGTTTATTTACATTCAAGTTAAAAGCCCTATCTTAGTAGACATTCATCACATGAGCAAAGTGCAAAGCTTATTGTGTTATGGATTTTTTTTTTAATTAACAATTTAACAATCTAATAATGTCAGACAGACACATTATATCTGCCACAGGGGGTGTTTTCCTGCAGAACAAGAACTTTTAATTTCTTACTTGAAGGACATTTTGATTATATTACTTATGTAATTTTAATTAAGTTGTTACTTGTAAAGGGGTATTTTTACACTGTTGAATTGATACTTTAACTTAAGTAACAGATCTGAGCATGTCTTCCCACATTGCCTAGAACTCTTAATTGTCAGAATTACTTGGCACCCCCATAACTAACCCCTTGTTATCCTGCTGCACCACATGAAGTGAACCTATAGCCAAATGTTCATGTGTTCATGTGCCCAGTTTTTTACAGTTGCCATGTTAAAAAAATCCTGGTTTTTCTGCAGGTCAAGGCTGCCCTCTGGGCCCTGCAAGGTGGCACTTCAGTGATCATTGCAAATGGCACCAACCCCAAAGTGACAGGTCATGTCATCACTGACATTGTGGAGGGCAAGAAGGTGGGAACCTTCTTCTCTGAGATCAAACCTGCCGGTGAGTTCACCTGGTCTGCATGCTTTGTCTCTCAACATCTCCTCACATTATTGTTATAATTATTGCAGAGAAACTAAAGCTGCATCATTCACAAATTGATTAGGTACAGCTAGCTAAAATAAAAAAGTCCTGCAATAAATCTTACCTTACCATACCTTAGAATGTCCAGTTTAGTTTAAACAATTGAGTGAAAAGATGTTGATTCAATTTTATGGTAATTTTGGAGACTGGTGCTGTTGAGTTTTTGTAATATTTTGTCCACCGTGTTAGTCTCAATAAGTATTAGAAACACCTCACATTATAAAACAATACAGTTCATCAACACCACTAACTACAACCTCCAAAATGATCATACGGTTGAATCAAGAACCTTCATGAGGGTGGGATCTATTCTGGGGCTGTTGTATCAGACAACATGACTGTGAGTAAGGTGTACCTAATAAACTGGCAACTTGGTGTACATTAAGTGATGTCTGTCATGTCCTTGACCCTTCTCCAGGCCCAACTGTGGAGCAGCAGACAGAAATGGCACGCAACTCTGGAAGAACCCTTGCATCTCTGCACCCAGACCAGGTGGCACATTGTTTTAAATAAGAACAAAAATGTCCAATCTTGTCTTCTGTTAACATTATTAAATCAACGGCATTAGCACGTTAAAGGGCTTCAGTTTATTTGTAAAAATCGGTTAATATAGGTTATAAACAAATTGAAAGGTTATCCCTAAGCTTAACTTTATCAGATAAAGAGAAACACTGACCTCTTGTGGGTAGATGTGCTATTTTCTCATTCTGTCTGTATTTTGCTTGACTGTGTTGTCAGAGGAGTGAGATCATCTGCCATCTAGCAGAGCTGTTGACTGAGAGGCAGGAAGAGATTCTGGCTGCCAACAAGATGGACATGGACCTGGCTGCAGGTAACAAAGTGTCATATTAAGTCACTTTGTCAGCTTTAAAGAGGATGTAACAGTGTAGAACCCAACACGTTTGCTGCACTCTTTTAAGTCAGTCCATAATATTTACTTTACACTGGTGTTTTTGGTCCCCCCAGAGAAATATAATCTCATGTATAAACAGATTTTTCTTGCAGGAAATAGTCAAATTTGATTGTTGCTTTCTTAATATTGCAAGAGAAAGAGATAGTTTTGTACAAATTGTGTGTCTCCACCAGAGGGCAGCTCTATCACATTCCTCTCTATAGATTGTCTCAGTTATTAAGTTAAATCCTGTATTGAATCCTAATAACAAAATCTAACCTAGCTCTCACTCCTTTTTCACAGGCCATTTGCCACCAGCCATGCTAAACCGTCTAAGCTTGTCACCAGCCAAACTTAACAGCTTGGCCATAGGTTTGCGCCAGATATCTGTGGCTGCCCAGAACAGTGTGGGTCGCGTGTTGCGCAGGACCAGAGTGGCTCACAAGCTGGAGTTGGAGCAGGTCACTGTGCCCATTGGCGTTCTTCTGGTCATCTTTGAGGCTCGACCTGACTGCCTGCCACAGGTATCTAGGCAGAGCTGCCATAATACAAACAATTCCTCTTGATTCTCATTAGTTTTTACCTTTGACTTTCTTGAAATGACTGAAGGAATATCACAAACCCTACGTGTTTTTCTCCAGGTGTCCGCATTGGCCATAGCCAGTGGCAATGCCCTCCTGCTGAAGGGAGGCAAGGAGGCAGCCAACACCAACCGTGTCCTCCACGAGCTCACCCAGGAAGCCCTTTCCATGCACGGAGTCAAAGAGGCTGTACAGCTGGTAAAATTTGTTTCCTACACATTTATTACAAGGCAATACAAACCTTATATAGCACCTTTCGTAGACAATAGGAGCTCGATGAAAATGCATCACCTCAATTGGTTGATCAGAAGATAGCCTGAGAAACTTTTTTTTTGACAAACATGTATTCGTTACAAGGTGAGCACTCGTGAGGAGGTGGAGGATCTGTGCCGACTGGACAAGATGATCGACTTGATTATCCCTCGAGGTTCATCCCAGCTGGTGCGCGACATTCAGCGGGCGGCAAAGGGCATCCCGGTGCTTGGTCACAGCGAAGGAATCTGTCACGTCTACGTCGATGCAAATGCCAGCATCGACAAAGTCATCAAAATTGGTGAGCATACTTTTTCAAATCTCTGTGCTGAGTTATACTGTAGAACTCTATGTGTACATACTGTTTTAGTAAAGTAACATGACTGCTAATGACTACTAAATTGTTAGTAAATTATGGTTGTGGTACTGGCAGGCTAGTTCTGCCAGACATTTATGTTCGATTACAACCTACTATGAATGTATCAGTAATTGCCTGATATTTTCCCATTCCAGTCAGAGACTCTAAGTGTGACTACCCTGCTGCGTGTAATGCCATGGAAACTCTACTGATTCACAGAGACATCCTCAGAACTCCACTGTTTGACCAGATCATTGACATGTTGCGCACTGAGCGGGTAAAGCACTGAATGCATACGTCCACACATTCAGTTTGATTATAGTTGACTTTCATCCAAAATAAGCTGAATTATTAAAATATATATACTGAATTTTAATAAATATATTGTAATAAGAGGACTTGTTATCTTATTTTTCTTTTCTTTTTTTAAAAAAAAATCCTTGTGTGTCTAGGTAAGGATTCATGCAGGCCCTCGATTCGCCTCCTACCTGACATTCAGCCCATCAGAGGCAAAGTCCCTGCGGACAGAGTACGGTGACCTGGAGTGCTGTATGGAGGTGGTGGATAGCATGCAGGAGGCTGTGGACCATATTCACAAGTATGGCAGTTCCCACACTGACGTTATCATCACAGAAAATGGTAAGTGGCCTAATGTGCTAGAGCAAGTATTTTATTGTTGTCTTTTTTTCTTTTTAAAACATTTATTTTGTATTTTTCTGTTTTAAAAATTCATGCCTGACAGGTGCCATCTCTTTTTTTATTTCTGCCGTATCTTCATACCATACCACTGTGGTTTAAACAGCACTGGTCAGTCTTAGTTAATCTTGTCCTTTTCTATACCTCTTCATGTAGGTGTCTGGTATTCATTAAGTTGTCCTTCCCACTCTCCTGATTGCTGTTTTCTGTCTATCTCACTTTCTGCCACAGTGACTAATGAGCAGTGATACTTTGTCAGGATGAGTGCACAGCCTCCCTCTGTGACTCCAATGTAGGGGACAGAGCTTGTTTAAAATGTAGAGCAGATGCTAAAACACAGTTTAAAGACTTTGGATCATGTTTAAACACATTTTTGTCTTATAAGTGAGCCATCACATTGCATCCCTCTAACTCATGTTGATTGAAGCCATTCTCTCCAGTTTCAGGAGTATTTCCTGATTTAAAGGCTTTGGTTATATTGCATGTGGACACATTGCCATTTCTACAACATGTTCATTTGTAAAGCTTTTTTTTAACAATGTCCCATAAACATCTAAGGGTATCAATGCATATAAAATGCATATAAATACTGAGGTACAAGTTCATTGTGAAAGCTTGAAATACAAATGTGCACAATATTAGGTGATCTGATCAGGATAAAACAATAGTATTTGAAAATGCAAGAGAAAGTGTGCAGTTCACTTTTCTACTTTGAGGATTATTCTCACCTGCAGTGGAGGATGTGCTGCTGCCATCTGGTGACCACAGAAGGTACCTCAATGAAATAAAATGTACATAAAATTTAGTTATTTGTATCAATATAGATAGATGCATAGATGGATAGATAGATAGATGGATAGATGGATGCACACTACAGAGAGAGAGTATATGAGTACAATAGATACATGCACGGACAGACAGATTAGTTGCTTGGTAGATAATCTGTAAAGTCATCAGGAGAACAACCTGCCTTGTGCTCTTTGTATAAAAATTTCAGCCTGATTTTATTTAGCAATACAATATTTTCAGAGTATTTACATCTGAATGAGATGGACCTAACTTTAAAGGCATATAGCAGCTCAAGGATTTCTCCTGATGGCATTTAGACCTATAGACTTCCTGTTCAAAGTGATAGAATTGATATATAGATTGTGCTTTTGTCTGTGGATGTTCATGGTTCACATTATTAAAGAGCTTATAGCACTGGGTGTGTACTAAAATAACATCGGCAGACATATTTGTAACCGCAGTGGCAGCAACAAATACCCGTAATTATGTTATGAAATCCTCAGAACTGCAGATTTAGGTCTTTAAGCACAACTACAACAAATAGCTGTTGTTGTCACATACCTCATGTTAATGCCTGAAAGGCTGTTAGATCAGAGATACGAGGTTGTGAGGTAGTAGCACTAATAAGCTGTCTTTCTCTTACAGAGGACACAGCAGAACAGTTCCTGCAGCAGCTGGACAGCGCCTGTGTTTTCTGGAACGCAAGCTCACGTTTCGCTGATGGTTACCGCTTTGGACTGGGTATGTGGTAGTCTTATTGGCATATCATTTGTCTTTTATTGCCTCTTTTTATTCTCATATTAATTTGTTATTTTCTCTCAGGGAACTGCACTCTCTCCTTGAGCATGTGATATAATGTTTACAATCCTCACTTTCTTCCTTTGTCTTTGCCTTTTGTCTGTAGGAGCAGAGGTAGGTATTAGCACAGCTCGTATCCACGCCCGGGGCCCTGTTGGCCTGGAGGGGCTGCTTACCACAAAGTGGGTCCTGAGAGGTGACGGGCACACTGTAGCCGACTTCTCTGAGCATGGTACCATGAAGTATCTCCATGAAAACCAGCCTGTTGGGCAGCCTCTTGCTGGGCAGAGGGATAGCAACTAGACCACAGACTTTCACAACATTCATCTAGCCTTAACATTGGTCAGACTGGTTTGCATTTCCCACCAGCAGCTCATCTGGGGTCTTGTTGCAGATAATGGCTGATGTCACTTTTTTAAACCTCTGAAGCACAAAGCATGGAGAGAGACGCTTAACACACCAATTGGTTCGCACAATCGGAAAGTTGTCCCTATTGAGACTGTACTTTTGTTCAGGGATCAAGAGTTTACAAATGTTTTAAATTCTACCTCAGCTTACGATATTTTTATATGAGTTAGGTCAGGGTCTCTACCGTTTTGAGAGTGAGGCCTACCTAAGGGGAGAAAATTATCCAGAGGGCTACTGTATATACTTGACGAACATCCATGTTAAATTTATGCTTTCAATAGAATAACATAGCGGTGTGTATTTTCCCCTTTAAGTCATTTCCATGTACAAAGTTGAATTTGATTTGGAATTGCGTGTGTAGAAGTAGTTTTTTCTGTTTGTGGTATTAACACTCAAAGTTCTTATGACAAATCTGCTGATAAGCACTGAGAGTCAATTTACTCAGCTCACCTAATCAATTTATCAAACTAGTTAATTGATCTGAAAATGCAACTCTAGAGAAAATTGGCAAGGGCTTAGGCCACCATTTGGGACAATGACAATGAATGCCAGTAAATTGTTACTTACAATTGTTATCCAGGGAGACCAAAGTGCTTGTTTAATAATGCAATCTCAGGACAAGATTTTGAAACTGACACTAATTCACACAAACATTATTTAATTTCATCATAAAATGTGAATGAGAAACATTATTACCAAAATGTGCTTACTTTGCCAATTTTATTGTGTAAAGCCACCCAAAATATTGTGATGATGGGCATGTTTATCTTTATCAAAAATATATTTTATTTGTTTGATATTGTAAATCATAGTCTATTCTCTCAGAAAATCAAGTTTCAGATATAATTATACATAACCGAAGGCCCAATTTGGTTTCATCTGATTGCATTGGCTCATTACCCACAAGATTCATACTGATTGTACTGTAAGTGCTTTCTTTGTTTATGTAACATCAGTTTTTTTTCTTTTCTTGCTGTAATTCCAGATTGAAGTTTCTGTATGTTTCTTATTGTACAGATATTTTGATTAGATGTGGTGCTGGTGTCACTGCAAGTTTGCATTTGATGAAAGAAATTTTGACTTTTTCTTAGTTTAACCAAATCCTGCTATATTAGAGATTTTAAAATTTCCTGATTCCGGGAAACTAAATTACATGATTAAACTACATAGTATAAAAAACAATATGAGATTAATGCCGTAGTGTCAGAAATGTGCTCTTGTATTTTAAAATACACTCCAAATTGTATGCATTTTATTTACTATTTTTTATTTATTTGATCACTGTTACAAGTTGTGCTCATTTTTCTATGCTTTGCTGCTTTCCTGCTCGTTCCTTGTGGTGCCCAAAGCCCCTGTCAGAGCAGGAACAGTAATTGACAAGCTGCCTCCTTCAAGCTGGAGGGGTGAGTGCGACTGCTTTTAAATTAAGCTCTATAACATTCCAGCCTCTGAGCTACTATCTGATGTCTTGCAATGCACACTTAAGGATTGGTTTGGGTTGTTTAATAGCAGTATTGTAGAATAAAAAAAAATGGTTGAAAAGGTTTTATTTCTGATATATTCCTTACTTTCTTTGATTTTTTTCAGTTGAATTGTTGAAGATTTTCACACATATGTTCATCTCTGTCCTGGCACTTGTGTTTCTACTTTCACAAAGAACACAAATTAATGGGGGGAAAAAAGTCGTACTGATCTGAAAAACAGATGTCTAAAAAGGGCCTTTTTAAAGTTGCCCATAGGGGAATTCGCATTGCTGGAAGTGGGGCAAGGAAGATGGAAGACAATACTATAGAGGTTTAATTATCCAGCCATCAGAAATGAAAAGGGGGAGAAGGAGAACTGAGACTAATAATGGAATCACAGGCTTATGTTCTTGGTTTCTCTTTCTTTCGTTTTCTTTCTCTTTTCTAGCATCTAAAGAATTCATTCTCCAAAACGCACTACTTACCCTTCAATCAGCTTCCCATCACCAAGTCCAAAGGGTTCAGAGATGAAGAGGGAGACAAAACTCGGATCTCACTCTTTAGTCTTTTTTATGTATGAAGCGATTGAAAATATCATCTAAATGACTTGAGGTAGAGATGGAACAATCTTGGGACATTGAGTATTGCCTGTTTGATGCATAGAATTTTATTTTACAATATAACATGCATCAAAGTTGTTTGCTACGAACAATAGCTATTCAGGTGCAAGTGTGTTATTCCCAGATGCTGTATTTACACCAGTTTTCTACCTTAAGGTCCAGTGTGTAACATTTAGGTGGATCTATTGGTATTACTAATAATAGGTATATTTTTATCAGCGTATAATTACTTAAAAAAGTTGTTGCCTTAGAATGAGCCGTTTTTATCTACAGAGGGAGCTTTCATGTAGGCCACAATGTTGAACTTCCCGGTTTCCACAGTAGCCCAGAATGGACAAACCAAACAGTGGCTCTACATAGGGCTTTTTGCATCTTTTGCGAGTGTCATGGCCACTGTAGTTTCTTCTACACCCTTGGATTCTTGTATTCAAATGGTTGCAATCTACAACTTCACTGCCATATGCCAGTAAATCCATTGGTCCTTTAAGTAATAACAGGACACCGATGAGTGTTTTGTTGTGAAATGGAAGGCCTCCATTGGCTGGTTACTGCCTGAAATTTCTCAGGTCTCAGAATCTGCATTAAAATAATCATATTCTGGTAATGAACTGCGACAACTCTGTATATACGATTCTCAGAATGCCCAGAGAAATCATTTGCAAAGTGTCTCATGCTCCATGTTTGAATTCAAGTCTAAAATGTTACAATCTTTGTTGAGGAAGGCTGACCATGTCAATAAGAAATATATTTTATATTGCCGTAGTGTTTTGATGACCCCAGTTTTCTCCTCAACTTTATGGCTCCTAAAAACTGAACTAAGGGTAGATTTCAATGATTTTATAAGAAAAACTCAGTAGATTTTGCAACGTGACTGTACTGAATATTTAAGCAAGGCAGAGTTGCAGAGTTTTCAGGTTCTTTGCCTTTACTGTTCTTTTTATGTGAAGTTTGCAAGGTTTTAACCATAAACTTTAAACCACAAATGACCATAGACTTGTTTTCTGTAGTTCTCTGTAAGTCTAAAGTGCTTAGCTCCTGGATTTGGTTAATATTTGAAGCTGCTGCCCCTTGATGACCTTAAATTAACTTCCAGTTATGGCTGAGGCCTGGCAGCCTGTAAATTTCCTCTCATCTCCTATCTGACATTGCCCCCAGACTCCAGCTGATCAGATCCTATGTTGCACCCTGTTGATGTTGTTATGTCTGCTGTGTATTGTTGTCCACAGATATAAAAAAGGATGATGAGGGCAAATCACTGGACTTGTACAGCAAAGCTGACAGTCCTTTAATTGGACATTACTCAAGGCCAAAACTCATATTTCTTGTTGTGCTTGATCTTAACAGACTCTCAAATGCACTCCCCACTGGGCTTCAAATTTTTTTGAATCAATAATTAATGGTCAAAGTTATTTATTCATGTGTATCTTTGCCAATTACGCAGCATCTAATTAACAATTTCAATAATTGATATTTATTTCTGAAAGGGTTCAGTGTCTTGGGCTGATGAAAAATGCATGAGCGGGGATGTGGACTGGGTTTTGTTTTTTGTTCTGAGAGAGCTTGATGCTCGGGGCTAATACCAGGCCACTTTGACTCCAACTCTTTGAGTTGGCACTGGCCCTGTGATGTGGATCTAATATGGGCATCTTTCATGGACCCAACGCGCTTACTCTGTACCATGTGATCTCATAAAGACTCCTACATGCTCATCCTCAGATACCCTTTTTTAGTCTTTAATATCAAACTTCAAAGAATAAGCTTCTGTTTCCTTGATAATTTTTCTTTGTGTATGTAGAATGACAATATCATGGCAAACTGTAGAAACTCTTGGTCTTACTAGGACCTCAGTGGTTACACTTCTACATCTAACTCTGTGGCCTGATGAAACTAAAGTTTAATCACTATACTAAAGAGAAAAATATTCCTCAGATTTATGAAAAGCCATATCCCCCTGATCTTTTTATAGTGACAGCTGTAGTAGTCAATAGAAAATTAACAAAGGCTTCCTTTAGTTGACTTTCATCAAGTTTTCGTTTATTGTGGTTCCAGTAGGAGAGGAGGTTAGGGACAGGCAAGGCAAACCATTTTGCTATGGGACGACCAAAGCAAAAAAAGATCACTATTTATGGTGAGCTTGCTTGCTTGAGCACTGAGTTGGGGAGGAACTTTACCCAACAATGCAAAGCAACCCAACAAAACCAGAACCCAACATCAGACGCACCAAAACCCCCATTATTAAAATGTATGATTTCAGGTTTGGACACCACAGTGTTGAGACCACACTGAAACAGTGTTAACATGGGGAACAAGAGGGTGGAAAGCTTAACAGTGGGGCTCAATAAGGGTAAAAAAAAATCTGAGAATCAGTTGAGCTCAGTGACACGTCTCAGAGAACCAAAGGTGGGGCTGGTGCTTCCCCACTCGCTGTGCCTCCTGTACTCTCCGGGACGCAAGAAGTACTGGCGTCCCCTGTAGTTGGGGTGTTCATGCAGCATCCAGTAGCCCTCCATGACATTGGCAGAGGAGATGTCACGGGTGTGGAAGCGCTCATTCAGATCTGGGCAGTCGTCCATTAGCTCCATATTCTGGCCCCCAAAGTCAGAGCGCTCAAAGATCTTCATCCTGTAGTTCCCATTATACTAGGGAAGAAATGACGAGAGACTAAGATGATGCTGTCATTTACATTAGGTAAACTTTACATTACCACAGTTAAGTAGTATAACAATCTGATATAAACTGATGGGTAAATATTTACTGCACAAAACTTGACCTAATCTAATGACCCAATCTATTTTTTACTGCAGTTATAGGTCAAGCCAAAAAGAGATATTTTAAAATAGCCACATACTGGCACTGAGTGGTGAAATCAGTAGGATTAGGCTTGAGAACTAAATTATCCTAAACTGGCACTTCTACAGGAAACCTGTAGTGAGAACATTGCTTCAAACAGTGTAGGGCATCAATTAAAACTCACAGGTGGCACCATACGGCAGGAGCGGATACAGTCATTGAAGCCTGCCCAGCGTTGGTAGTCGGGATACTCGCCCTTGGGCAGCATATACTGATAGCCACCATAGTTGGGTTTCTCGTAGGCCACCCAACAGCCGCTGTCCACTTTTATGGAGTTACAGCGGCTGAAGTGGCTTTGCATCTCTGGACAGTCACTACTGCACTCATAGTGACGACCCTGGAAGTTCCTGTCCTCGTAGAAGATAATCTGCATATGATGGATGGACATTATAACCACAGGGCAATGCCAAAGACAAACTAACACATATATATGATATTCTTCATGACCAAAATAACAGACTTTTAGTCTGTGTGGTTTTCATATTCATACCATTTGGTATTCTAAGCCAGGTTTGCAAGTTTCAAATTCAACAAACCTCTTGCATAGAATAATTGAAAGAGAAGAATTTTGAAATAGTTAAGCCTGAGAGAGCATGAAAAATGCCCCAAATAGTGTACCTGATGCAAAATGTACAGTATAGCATGTTGTATATTTTAATGCAGAGAAAAAACACCTGGCATGTTTTTACAGGAATTAAGACTCCAAGCTCAAAAAACTGTATTTTTTTTATTATCCTCAACAGAAGACAAATTTATCATTTAACGTCATTAAAGTCTTATTTTGCAGCTTTGACTGACCATTACCTACATAACTCAATGAAGGTCTTAAAGATTGTATGTGTAAAAATGAAATTATTTTTGAGGTTCTTTGCAGAATTTATCAGTTCAGCTGCCATTTTAGAGTTATTTGCCATTAGATGCAGATAATCCATATACCACACATAAAAAATTGTAGTTGCTTTTACTATATAGATTTTAAACTGCACACTTACCTTGCCCATTGTAACTGTGTAAAGTTCGGACCAGACCAGATGCTGGTCTGTACCAGACCTCTTTATAGACCCTGCTGGGATCAGGGCTTTGCAAATGTGAAACAAAGCTTTGTCATGTCAGCACAGTACGCTCTATAGACTGCAGAGCACTATAGGACTGGTAGGCTGCAGCAGCCTCTTTGTTTCTATCAAAGCTTTGTCTGTCTATGGAAAATACTGTACAACTGCACTTTCTCAAAGGGCTACAATAAGAGTTGCAGCATCTGCCTTTATTGGAATGAATGCCAGAAACCTACATGCAGACCAAAGAGCAAGCAAAGAGAAAAGTTTTACCTTTTAAAAGGTATTGATAGCAACATAGACCATTAAGCAGGAGCAACAGGCTTTTTTCTGTTAAAAATGTACAATAAGTAGGAAGCAAATTTGCTGGTTGTAGTGTTATTGCACTGCAGATGTATGTTTTCATGTTGCATGAATTTGTTCAAATAAACTCACAAAAGGACATTGTTATTTGAAAATCAAGTGTTTAATGTTCATTTGAGTAGCACATAGTTTACATGACAGTCCTCATCCTTCTGAATGAGCCCAC